ATGGAGGTGTTTTTGTTCCCCCCTTTTTTGAATGGCTTTTTTTTTTTTTTTTTTTTTTCAGCAAACATGGAAAGAAGTGGTACAAGACTGTACAAAAGCTGTGGAACTGAATCCTAAGTATGTGAAGGCGCTCTTCCGGCGGGCCAAAGCACAGGAAAAACTTGACAACAAGAAGGAATGTCTTGAAGGTACACACTGATTTGTGTTGGCTAGTGTCTGTCAGTCATTCCTGCTCTGATAGATATGAGTGGTGTGACTACCTGAGCTTTGATTGAGACCCTGTAGTAATTACCTCCCTTGCAAACAAAAGAGCATCTGCTACACTTGGGATTGCACATTATCTCTCAGAGATTTTAAAAGGTGTGGGAAATGACTGGGGAAAGGATAGAGGTTTTGTTTTTAACACAAACTGGAAGTAGTATCAGATAGTATCAGATTGAAGGGAGTCATTAGGTTTTAGAATTGTAAGTGTCCCCAGCAGGGCAATTTCTTCTCCACATGCTGTTCTGTTGACATCCAGGGTTGTGATTTCCTTTTGTCCCAGTTCTAGAGTGGATTTCTCTTTGGAAGATCCGCTAGAGAACGAATGATGATTTCACCAGCCTTTAGGCTGGGTTAACACCTAGGCGTATCGAATATGCGCGTTTGTACCGCGATCCGTGGTAAAAATACCGCGCGACAAACGCGTGTTTCCGAGGGCTACCTGGCTGTATCCCAATGGGTACGCGCCGCAAATACGCCCCAAAGAAGCTCCTGTACTTTGGCCGTAGGGCGTTTTGCAGCGCGTTCCTACGCGCTGTAAAACGCCCAGGTGGGAACCATGCCCATAGGCAATCATTGGTTTTCACATGTTGAGCGTTTTACAGAGCGTTGGAACGCGCTGTAAAACGCCCAGGTTGGAACCAGGCCTTAGTGGAAGAGCCAAAGAAATAAGGAGATTGTCCTCAAGAGGTAGAGCGGGAAGTTAGGAACACAGCGGTTTCCTGGGTGTCACCAGGACAGGAAGCAAGGCTGTATATGTCCAACGCATACACTGATGAAGAAACACCTGACAGAAGTTGTAACCCTTCATTACTCTATCACTTTAAAAAACAAAAAACTTTAAGATGAAATACAATTCTAGTTCAGAATTTGGTATAGGCTAGTAATTTATTATTCGGTGTTTGAGCACACACTATGCAAGACTTAGTATATGGTGTGCAGATATGCTGTTGCTTGCTGAATGTTCTAAAAATGGCAATTGTGAATATAAGTTTTTTTAAGCAAACCAGGGCTTTGGCACTTGGAGATTGGCCAAGCAGTGCGACGGGTAGAATGTCCTCAGCCTTGTATGAGCTATGGGCAACTCTGGGCTTATGCAGAGCATGAGTATGTTCTGCGGGGGAGGGGTGCATAAAATCTAACCTGTTGCTTTGCCCTACAGTGATTTGCTTTCCAAGCCAAAAATGTACTTAGTGGCTATTGGCAGCTGCTTTTTGCTAGAAACTGCTGTAATTGTTCTAAAAGAAATAACATTTATAAAGCAGTGATGTGCTTTACAAATGCACTTAGCACTCCACTGGCTTAAGGCTTTCAAAGCCAGTGGAGGGCTTTTAGAATCCATGAAGAAACAAAAAGCTGGAAGAAGAGGCCAGTCATGTGACCTGTCAGTTATTTGACCAGCTCTTCTCCAGTCATGGACTTCTGTCTGCTGCATTAAGGAGTATGATGTTAGAGGTTTTAGAGAATTGGGTTGCAAGTGTTTAATATCTGAGGATTTCTGTTCTCACTTATGTTCCGTACTGGTCTTCTGTTTAATATTCAGATCTCACAGAACTTTTATCTGCTTGTAAACTCAGTGTTTTTATTTTGATGTAGATGTTACCGCAGTTTGCATCTTGGAGGGCTTCCAGAACCAGGCCAGCATGCTGCTTGCAGATAAAGTACTTAAGCTGCTTGGAAAAGAGAAAGCCAAAGACAAATACAAGGTAATGATGAGGAACCGTGTGCACCTTAGGCTGGTTTCTTCAAAATGGTCCTTCTGTATATTATATAAATTTACCCCATTCCTACTCTTGGTTCTCATGTAATTTGTCAAGACAGGTCTGCACCTGATTCAACATTACTGCTTAAAGGGACTATGCATTGACTTAGGCCTTGTTCACACCAGATGCAGTGCGTTTTGGCCCGATTCTGGCCAGAACAAACTGCATCGCATTGCGGCCAGCTCACTTTTTTGTGGGGCAGGAGGGAGCGTGGCGGGCAATTGAAGTGAATGGCACCGTAGCCATGCCCTTGGGCCGCACGGGATCTTAAGGTACATTATGCCTGCGGTCCGGTCAGATCCAAATGCTGCAAGCACTATTTTGATCGGACCTGACCACAGGCATAATGTGCCTTGCGATCCCGTGCGGCCGATCGCATTGCGGCTGGAGGGCATGACTATGGTGCCATTCACTACAATGGACCGCCATGCCCCCTCCTGCCCCACAAAAAAGTGAGCTGGCCGCAATGCGATGTAGTGCGTTCTGGCCAGAATTGTGCCGGAACGCAGTGCATCTAGTGTGAACGAGTACTGAAAGTGTAAAGGCATTGGTTTTGGATAGTGTGTGTAAGGCTCAGATCCCTGTCTGGTTTTAATTTCTGTCTGCCCCCACTGTGGAGATTCACCCCTCTATTTGTTACCATTGTCACTGACACAGTGATGGGAAACAAAAAAAATGTGGATATGTCACCAGATCAAGAAGCGAAGAAAAATCCTGTTCCAAAGACAACTTTCAATGATGGGAATTTCGTCCACTTTAAAATGATTTGTTCTCATATCCTGTTGCGCCTCCGGTACAGGAAGTGAAAGGGGCATCTCCCCAGCAGGGCACAGGCAAATGATGACCTGATAGGTATTGTAACCTTTCCCTACGGTATCTGAAATAAAACAAAAAAAGGACGGCTTTACACTTTAACTTCAGCACATTTTTTTAAACGTTGTCCAACAATTAAAATGTCTGTACACGCATAAAGCATTGCAGTCCTTGGTAGTAGGAGTTGTTGTCTTGTGCAGTCAAATTTTAGGCCGCAAGTTGGTGTTTTCAATACCGAGAGCTCATTCAGTTTACGTATAGTGATATCATTTGGAAACTTTGTTCACTGAATAGTAGGCTGTAAGCACCTTGGACCTGTAGACGGCTCTCCTGAAAGGTCTGTGTTTCAGCTCTTTTTTTCTATCTAGTATTTGACTTAAGGAGGCCATACCCCATGCGAATTTCTGTCACTTCTTGATGAACCGGGCTGAAACTTGCACAATGGGTGCCACTGACAGCACCCTTTTGGCTGGCATTCCTCAGTCAGCTGATGGAAGGAGGCGGTCGTAAAACCTTTGCACAAACAGAGTCGGCAGCCAATAAGCTGCAGGCTCTTTTCAGGTATTCAGAATACAGTGAAGACAGCGGGAGATTCCTTGATCAACATTGTAAGCGTTGATGGAGGAATCTGTTCTATGTTTTTCATTCAGCCCACTGGTTGAACAAAAAAAACAGTGTATGGCCAGCTTAATTTAGCAGTCCATATGATCAGATCCCTCCCCCCTCCCCCCTGACCAGCAGGGGAACCGTGAAGCTGAGCTCTACTTTCCAGCATAAATTGTAGATTTGATTCATGTGATCAGCAGAAGCAGTGCTTTTTGCATGCTGTACCATGACCTTTAGTCAGGTGACAAAATGGTAAAGCCGTGTCTTCTTGTCACTATATTAGTAATCTGAAATGTGCTGTCAACAGTGTAAGAGTCTTTTACCCAAAGTCTTTTACCCTAAAAAATAAAACGTTATGGATGTCCCCAGTGCTACAGTAAGTGTAGGGACTGTCTGTCTTGCCTGTAGCAGGAAAGAACACCAGTTTACACATGAACCACATTATCACTTCAAGCTGGACTCTAGCTTTAAAAATAAATGTCTTTGAAATGCAGCTAGCTTTTACTCTTCTGTACACCTCTGTGCTGGAATGAATGAACTGCTGTGTGCATGTGCAGGAGTTACTTTATCCCCTGCTGGTCAGTCAAGGCAGCGAAGACACAGCACCCAGAAAAAGATGTTGGCGAGGGAGCAAGGGGAGGTGAGTTATGGCCAATCAAATGTCCTGATTGAACATGCTGATAGGAGAGTGCATAGGGATGACCTCATTAGTCTCTTCCTGCTGCTATAATATCCATGCTGATAGGAGAGTGCATAGGAATGACCTCATCAGTCTCTTACTGCTGCTATAATGTCCATGCTAATAGGAGAGTGCATAGGGATGACCTCATCAGTCTGTTCCTGCTGCTATAATATCCATGCTGATAGGAGAGTGCATAGGGATGACCTCATCAGTCTCTTACTGCTGCTATAATGTCCATGCTGATAGGAGAGTGCATAGGGATGACCTCATTAGTCTGTTACTGCTGCTATAATATTCAGTCTAAGACGAGGAGCAGGGATGTGACTGAGCTGTGTTGTTTAACTGCAGCAGAGAAATGTCGGAAAGGTCTTTGCTGTCTGCTAGGGTTGTGTAAATCTCAGGACTGACTAGACAGCAATATAAACCTTTGACAAGTGAGGCAGCTCTTATATATGTATTTCATTTGTGTTTGAAGCCCTTTGCCTAGAGTTCAGCTTGAAACCTAAACACTGGGGAGAAGAAGAACTTGCAGTGGGAGGTTTGAATTCTGGTTTATGCCTAGGGTACCAGTCCAAAGGACTTTTACTTGCAGTACCTAGGCCCTCACCCATGCAGACAGGCTCCCTCCACGTTCTGCGCCCTCCCTCCCTCCCATTGGCGTCTTGCCTAAGGCGCTCAGTCGGTCGCAGGTACCCTTGACGCCATAAAGTACAATGCAGGATTAATAACCCAGCATTCTACGGGAGAAGACCAAGGGACTGTCCACAACCTGGAGTGTCAGCGAACAGCGGCTGCTTAGGGGTGTGAGGGATTAGGTAAGTAATAATCCTTTTTCTTGGTACCGTAGCCATAAACCAGCATTTAACCCTTTGGGTGCGGGGAAAGACCCACTGCAAAGGGTTTTTACTTGTTTTGTTTTTTTAAGTGTTCAACTTTAAGTGTTCTGCCTCTTGTATGCAAGATTGACAATGATAATAAACAAACCATATCTTCTCTTCTAGAACAGGGAGCCACTAATGCCTTCACCTCAGTTCATCAAATCCTACTTCAGCTCTTTCACAGATGACATTATCTCCCAACCACTACACAAAGGAGAGAAGTCAGATGAAGACAAGGATAAGGAGGGGGAGCAGGCTGTGGTAAAGGAGAAGTGAGTTTGATGATGTTGATTCTTGTTCTTTGGATGAGCCAGCACACTCTCTGCCCTGTCTGCAGGGAGAGTGCGGATCCTTTTGGGCACTGCATTCTTCTCACGTATAAGAATAACAGAGTAGAATGTTTTCTTTGGTTTTGGGTAGAATGGGGGGAGTTTAGAATATCTGTCGGGTTATTACTGCTGATAAAAGGGTGGAGCTGAGCAGATCAGGCTGGTATTGCACGCATCTAACGTCAGATGCAGTCAGTCCATGTTCTGGGTGCAGGCTATTGCGTGCTTCCCACTTGTCCAAACCATTCCCCAAAGGATCAGCTGCACAAAACCAGAATAGATGCAATCCAAAATGTATTGAAATAATCCAAACCAGTTCCAAAAAGTAAATCCAAAAGAATGATTAACAGCATTAAGCCCAGGTGGTGAGAGGCGTTGGCTTGGTGTTGGAAATGTTCATGGTGATGTAATCGTTCTTTTGGATTTACTTTTTGGAACCGGTTTGGATTATTTCAATACATTTTGGATTGCATCTATTCTGGTTTTGGGTGGCTGGTCCTTTTGGAGATTGGTTTGGACAAGTGGTATTGCATGCGATCACACGTTTAGATCTGTATGATTAATACATGTACTGTTAGTGCAATTGTGAAGAAAAAAATTGTATAGAGTCTCTGTAATACACTGCGTAACTGTATGTGTTACCAAAATCTAAACATATTCAGCACAGTTCTTCAATAGTTTTGTGTCTGCAAATACTTCAAGTACCAAACAATCACCCAATGATCCTCCCAGAAATGCTGTGCACTCCTAACTTCCAGCAGTGAGCTGACAACACTGTGGTCATCCCTGCTTAATTCTACTCTGCTGAACTACAGAACACCTCCCCCCTCCTTTCCATAACTTCTCCTTGTTTACAGTCTCAGCACTTGCCTCCCTCCCATACTAGCTGTCTGCTGTTTCTCACCCTCTTGTGTTATTTAATTGTAGCAGAGGCAGTGTTATAAGCCCGCTATAGGAATCTGTGAACTCCGGGCAAGATTTTCGGTACATTTGAGTACTTGCAGTATTATTACCAAGACAAAACATGGGGAATGTGCATGCATAGGAGAGCTGTATTGTCGTTGTGAAGTTACGCCATTTTTGCTTTCAGATCCGGTTATATAAAAGCCAAACAATACATGGAAGAAGAGAATTATGACAAGATCGTCAGTGAGTGCACAAAGGAAGTGGAGACTAAAGGAAAGTACACGGCAGAAGCTTTACTACTGAGGGCCACATTCTACCTGCTGATCGGAAACTCTGCAGCTGCTAAACCTGACCTGGATCAGGTTATTAGCATGGAGGAAGCCAATGTGAAGGTACGCAGTGACGGAAGCTGGACTGTTGTGCAACTTTCCCAAGAATGCACGTTTCATTTTATTATTATTATAAGCGAAATATGCTGTACACCCTTGGTTCTCAACTGGTGGGTCATGACCCAAAAGTGGGTCACGACCCCGTGTTCAGTGGGTCGCCGCATGCCTTCAACTTTTCTAGTTGAGAGGCTCTTCAGCCTCCCCCTAGCGCAGCACTGTAAGTTCTCACACCGAGCAGCCAGTCAAAATATGCTGCCTAGCTCCAAATGTCGACTTGAGGTAGGGTGGGCTTGGGATATAGCCGCTAGGGAGTTCCATCCATATGTGCATTGCTTACAGCTTCCTCGCATGTCCTGTAGAGGTGACTGGACTGGCGTCCCATTCTGGCTCCCGGCACCCCTACAGGCGCGTATGGGAGCTGTACAAACAATGCACATTGCTGGATGAAGCTCCATCACAGCACAGCCGCGCACACTGGACCCCAGGTTAAAAATATACTCCAGTTCTCGTAAGGTAGGGAGACTGGGTGGATCTTTAAAAAAAAAAAATGTGTGTGTGTGAGATTGTGGTTGTGTGTCAGTGTTTTTGAGGGCCCGTTCACACTAGTATAGTGCGTTAATCGCACAATCCCATGTAAATAATGTACTGTACCACGCAATCACAACTACTGTGCGTTCTGGTGTGGGAGGTGCGTTGCATTGCCGTTCACTTGAATGGCACCCCAAACGCACCTCCCACTCACAGTTAAATCACCGGAACGCGGGGTACCGCAATGCCGTGCATTCCATTGAAGTGCGACTTGGGTCGCGACTTAATGACTGAGGACAAATGTGGGTCCTGGGGTTACACAGGTTGAGAACCACTGCTGTACACAGTGTGAGTGGTTTTCTGAATGAGGAGCTGTCCTATCTGATGAGGATTGTGTATAGCAGATGCTTTCTTTTCCTGAAGATGTCAGGATTTCATTGCTTTTTGTTAAAGCCCAGCTGCAGCCAATACTGTTTTGTTTTTTTTTAGTTTTGAAGCGTAGATGAATTGAAACCTCTGTCGAGTATATACTGTTTCTGTCCACGTTTAAAATCAAAATTTCCTCTGTTTTCACTGATCACGTAGTAACCCTCTACCTCCCCTTCTCTCCTTTTCTCACTTTCTTTCTGTCGTCTATTTGTCTTGTTGTGAGTCTATTCTATGTTGTCTATGTTTGGTGGCTTTAGGTGATGCAATGAATTTGACCTGTGAATGGGTTCATGCCTCTTCGTATGGTCCCATGTTTCTATTTCAATGTTGAGGGCCCAGCTCAGTTGTGATGGTCTCCTTCGGGGTGGACCTTTTTGTCAGTGACTCCCCCTGCGGGGGCGGGTAGTTAGGCGGGGGTGAGGCTCGATCTAGGGCCCATAATCCATTATACATACAGATGGCTTTAAGTATTGATGTCCATAATCTTAAATATTGCTCACCTACCCCCCCCCCTCCAATCCACCCCATTTTGTTATGCTTTAACCTCTTGCCGTCCGCCCGTAGTAAAAAAACGGACGGACGGCACTGCTGCATTTGCGGGTTGCCGTCTCCAGACGGCAATTATTTTCTGCTCGCGCGCGCCCCCTAGCGGGCACACACGGGCAGAGAAGACCCGACCATTAAACACACCCGTTACCAGGTGTTTGACATATAGGCGATCGATCAGCGGGTCCATAGCCCGCCGATCGCCTATATGTGCTCGTTCGCGGCACACACACACACACACACCCCACGCGGTCGCCGGTTTTCCCCCTTACCTTGAATCCCGGGATCCGCTGCCCCATCTTGAATCCCGGGACCGGCTCGGAGGGCGTCAGGGGGAGGAGGACGGGAGATCAGCTCCTTGCTGATCTCCGTCCGGGCTGTGAATGCAGAAGTGATGTGTATTACATCACTTCCGCATTCACCTGTCAGTCATCTGGCTGCTATAGCCAGAGAGAAGAAGCTGATAAAGCAGATCTCTGCTTCATCAGCTTCTTTTGGGGTCCACAGGTGATATTAGGGGTCCTAGAGACCCCTAATGTCTCCATAAAGAGGACCTGTCAGTGTGCCTTTGCTATTATTATATAGGGGGATTGTTATCCTCCC